ATATATACACACATATATAGGGGGGGAAGTGGGGTTTATAGGTCTGTTTTATATCTCTAGGTAAAAATAATGGGATAGAGTTACAAATTGTTTTGTGGGGGACAACAGTTCACTAAGCCTGGTGAAATGTCACTTCAGATGATGGGTCACTAAGAAGTGTTCAGTGCAGTTGAATGACAACCACTTACGAGGACTGCCGGATTCTCCTAAACCACTGGTTCAAAATGTATTACCTAAAACAGTAGTCACATGCGGTCGAATAAGTTTGGGAAATGGGGCCATCCCCTCTTGGAGATTCAAAATGCGTATTAGGATATTAAAAGCTCTAAGAAGTCTTTCAGTAAAAAAGCTTGTTTAATTTTCTAACCTTTCTGACATTCTCTTTTGAGAGGCATAAAGTCTATTTTGCAATCACTTTCTGTGTTTTATAGATGCATCTAATGACAAACTAATACCCTAATATTGGGTAATTTTCCAGGGTTGGCATTATCAGGTAGGAGATACCCATTAACAAGTACGGGCTGTCACATCGATTGTCGTTACAAAGCACTGGATTTATTGGAATATGTCGTGGAACTGAAGGGAGTCTGCGTAGGTGACTTCATTTGGAATAACCTTAAAATAAGAGGACAGTGTGTAATGAAAAGTGAAACAGGAAAGATAATTCCTAACAGGCAGGAAGCATTGGTGTCAAGGAGGTTGCTGGAGCATCAGAGTTGGTTTTATGGTTCCCGTGTGTTTTGAACACATTACCATTGACAGAAACCCCTTTCTAGTTCAAGTCAGCTTCCGTGTTGCTAAACCCAGTGGTTAGTGTTCAGTTCTCGGTGGACATGGTAGCAGCACCGATTATTTCCTCCTTAGATGCTCTTCACTCACCTTACAGGAAACCATACTTTCTCCTGAACTTCCTCCTACGACTCTGGCTTCTCTCATGTACTCTGCTGGATCCTGTTCTTTTTTCAGACGTCTAAGTGTTGAAGAATCCCAGAGTTCGTCCCATCTCTTTTTTAGGTGGTCTCATTCAGTTCCACAGTTCTAAATACTGTATTTATGTCACCACAAAATTTATATCTCCAGGCTTAACTTTACTTTTAAGCTCTGAACTTATCTCTACCAGCCTTGACATCCAAAGATAACATCATAAAATGAACATGTCAGAAACAGAACTCGAGGCCCCCCATTGTCTTCCAGTGTCAAATGGCTTCATCACATACCCAGTTACTCAAGTCAAGTGCTTTGAAGTCAGCCACGATTCCCATCTTTCTCATCCCACACCGAATTCATCAGCAAGTTCTGTCAGTTTGGTTTTTAAATACAACTTTAAACCACATTGTCTGAGCCACCACCTGCATAGTTCATTGCAACTGTACCCTTGCTTGTGTCCCCATTGTTGCCCCACGTTTTCTCCATGCAACAACCAGAGTATCACTTTTAAGCATGTAAATCAGATCCGGTCCCTTGCCTGCTCACAACTCTTCTAATAACCTCACATAACTAAACAAACAAAAAATCCATACTCCTACCATGGATTATGATCTGGCCCCCAGCTTCCACTGCAACCTAACTCCTGATACTCCCCCTCCCTCACTGCACTTAAGCCTCACTGGCCCACTTGCTAGTCCTCAGATACTATTAAGCAGTTCAGTCCTAAGGCCTTGCGCTTGCTGCGTCCCCCATCTCATATGATCTTTCCTAGGCACTTGGATGGCTTGCTCCTGCATGTCATTTAGGTTTCTACACAAATGGTACTTCCTTCGAAAGGCCTACATTCCCTCTTCTCACCCGCTTCTGTGCTTTATTTTTATTATCTCTCATCCTGTGGCATGTTATCTCTGTTTACTGTCTGCATGCCTTCAACTACAGTGTAATCTCTGTGAGGCAGCGACTTCTATCTCATTTTCTGCTGTGTCTCTGTACCTAGAGCAGTGCCTGGAGCATAGCAGGTGCTCAATAAATCATTTTAAATGAATAAATGAATTCTCTAAAAGACCTGTATGTCACTATGTTTTCCTTTAGTGAATCTGGTGTGTTGATGATGGGTTAGATTTCTACATCCAAGTAGCGGAGGGAAATCTAGGAACAGGGTGACTCTAGGGCACTTTGAAATGTCAAAACCCTTTAAAGAAAGAGATCAGGAAAAAAGCCCTACTTGCTCTGTAACTGATTATGCAGTGTGGTGTGAAAACATATCTGCTTCCCTTACACCGATTCTGTGTAAGAGGGAGTAGTGGTTCTCAGTCTTGGCTGTGAGAGATTTGTTTCTTTTAAAATATCAGCCATGTGAACCCATAGTATGAGAGAGACTTTTCTTTGGGGAACATTTGGTCATTTGTTTTTGGGCTTAAATAAAAGGATCAGTTGTCCTTGATAATAGATAACACACTTATTCGATTTAAAATATTTTATTTTAGAAAAGGCACTCTTAGATTTGTTTAAATCTTGTTTTCTGTATTCACAAATTAATCATGATCACCTTAGAAATAGCCATTGATTTTTCTTTCTAAATCTGTATAAAGATGTTTTCTTAAAAAGCCACAAGAAAAATACAGCTGTTTTCTTCTTGCCCAGGTCAGTCACTCGTTACAGTTTAGGGTGCACGTGTAAGTTTGTCTGGCATCGAATACTTCTAAGTATTTACAGACATAGTTAAAACTATACCCTTAAACCACCAAGTTTCAAAAAGTTGGATCTGTTTGAATTACAATAAATATGTACCAAACATATGAACAGTTTCTAAGCTGTGTATAAGGAGGTTTTAAAAATAAAAATTGTTACTGTTTAGTAAGCAGTTTCTATGTCAGGCATATAATGATAGCTTTACACAAATTCAATTCTTTCAGAATTCCTTTGAGGTAGGGTAAGGTTCTTTTTGCAGTGTCACTTTACAGATTAGAAAAAGCGAAGCTGGAAGAGCTTCAGTGATCCACCCAGGACCACAGAACTGGAAGGTGAGGCCAGAGTATGAACCTGGTCTCCTGGCAGCCAGATTCTTATCACCACACCATGCTGCTGGCGGATGGCGCTGGCTTACGTGACAATGCCTACAGTTCCAGGATAAACCTTTTAATGTCAGGCATGTGAACCACACTGCTTGGACAGGTTACTGAGTGTCATGATCCACTTTTGATACATGTACAGTTGTATATACACAGAGAAAGCGCAGGTAGACTAATGTACAAAGTCCCAGTAATAGCCATTTCACAACTTACAGACGTCTCGGTCCTCCTACCTCTTTCCAGGCTGCTGAGTTTGCCTTCTCTCTGTTTTACTACAGGATTTGCTCTGGACAGGAGCCGTTGCTCCTTGCCAGACGGGCGCTGCTTTCAATGCACTGTGCAGCTCGAAGTGCTCGGTAGAGCCATTTTTGTTAAAGAGCTTGACGTGGGATACAGGCATACCTCGTTTTATTGCGACTCACTTTATTGCGTTTCACAGATGTTGCATTTTTTTACCAATTGAAGGCGGAAAAAGGTTACAACTCGCTTTATTGCGCTACTCGCGTTATTGCAGTGGTCAGGAAGCGCACCTGTAACATCCTCGAGGTACGCCTGTAAAGAATTTTTTCTCTATAGAAGATGTGAAGTTCAAATTAGTTATTTTCGAGAAGTTCGTAGTGCTGTTTCTACACCTTTCGTAAGCTAGTCAACATCAGTACAGAAAAATAGAACATTCATCCCACTTTCCCAGGCACCTTCTTGACCAATTAGCGTTGATTACTAGCAGTGGTTGCTGGTAACTGTTTAACAACAGCCGGCTCTCGTGGGGGTGGGGGAGGACATGGTTTGGAGCTTTTGCCAGTTTCCGTGGTGTAAATACTCCCCCCGTGGCTGATCTCACGTAACCGACTATCACTGACAGTGGAGTTGTAAAGAGACGCACAGGGGTCCGTTATGGTACTTCCCCCCATACGGATACGACAGTTACAAATCCCCTCAAGGGCACAGATACGGAGAAATTAGGAAGTGATGCGTTTTGAGTAGCTATTACCTCTGTTTGAAATATAATTTAACTTTAGGTTTCTATAATTTAGTTTTTATTAAGGGCTGCATTTAACAACCAGCTTTCAAAATGAAATTTTAACAATCAGCTTTTATGAGCTAGCTCTGCATATCACTGAATTAGTGTCCCAAAGATAGCAAGATTCAACTTTCCTTTTGCTGTTTTGGATTGTGAATGAACTAATGATAGCAGCAAGAATTTGAGGGACTTTGGACTATTCAGTAAAAAGCACATAAATCCTGTGAACATGCCGTGAATAACTTGGGGTTTGTTTTGATCAATTTAAAATATATCTACATATTTCAATGATCATCAAGCTTTATAATTTCAACCTATTTTTTCAAACTTCAACTGAGAGTGATCTTCATACCTAGGATGTGATCCATGCAGAAAGGGGCCAGTAGAGTGAAGCAGATGGCTATCTTCTTCCTTCCCCTCTCGGTATTCTGGACAGCTCTCACCAAAAGTCGGAACCAGGAACGAGGAAGGTAACTTGAATAGCCAGGTAAACTAATGATGTGCCTACGGAGGACCCATGTATCAGAACTCAATTCAGTTTCTTCTATGCAAATATTCAGTGGAGAAGATCTGAACAAGGTGTTGAAAGATTGACTCCACTGCCACCCCAGCTTTCTTCCACGCTTTGGTCTCTGCTGGTGCTCAAGAGGCTGGATGTCTTCGCTTGCCTCCTTCACCCAGTTTTACCTCTGGTAGCATTCGGAGCTTTCCATTCCAAGTGGTTTGTCCTGGATAGGAACTAAAACAGAAAAAAAACACAAAAAACAAAAAAAAACCGCAGCATGTTCCATCAGCTCTGATTAAGTTGCAGCAATTATTTATTCTGAGAGCTGACCCAGACTTTTGTTTCTCTGCCTTTCTATGGCTCCTCAGGGAGCCAAGTGAAAAGTCAGACCTACTAGTTCTGGCAAACTTGGTGGAGGCAGTTTGTTGAGCCTAGTGTCTCGGGCTTGGGGAGTATGTATTTCTTTTTGTCTCTTATGAATAGGGAACTCATTAAGTGTTACTTATTTGATATTCAGCAAATATTTCTTGAATGTGTGGCCTAAATGAAGGCTCTGTGCCGAGGGCTGGGCTAGACAGCAACTGGCACCTGCCACCTCAAGAGACGAGACTGTAGATAGTGTCGATTGTTCTTCTGGGGCTTTTAACTGATTGTTTAAAGGGAGCACATATCCACCTGCTGAGAGAGAGGGCTGTGGGTGCCTGTTCCTTCAGTCGTTACTTTCTACAGAGAGGATGAGGGCTGTGCCTGGGCACCTTTTCTTAAGAACTGGCTGTGTGCACAGCTGATACAGTTGCGGGAACTCTGAGAGCTCTGGGCAGAAAGGCAGGGGAGGGCTGAGGATTATGAAAATAGCTTTGGGACTCCCCCTGTCTGGGGTCTCCAGGAGTGAGACTATTCTTAGGTAGTCTCTCTGCCCTGAAGGAGCTTTTCTTTGCCTGAAGGAATTTTTTTTTTTTTTTTTTTTTTGGGAGAAAGATTTGGACTAGAGTCAAAATGCTAAGCTGCAAAGAGAGCAAAGAGATGGCCAATTAGGCTGCTGGGCCGGATTCCAGCCAGGGAGGCGGGCTCTGCCTTTCAGTCCCCTGCCCAGGCTGGAAAGAGTCTTGGCGCTTGGTCCCTTGGCATGGTGGGATGCAGGAAGCCAAGTTCACATCCATGTCCCTCTCCTAATAGAGAAACCATGAGTCAGCCTATCCCAGTCCCTCCTGCCCTAAGAGCACAGCACAATCGCATAGCAAAGCAGGAAGAGGGGAAAGGAAGCTGTAGAAAAATAAACATTTCCTTGCATTCTACTAGGAATAGAACAGCATTGATGGTGTGTTAAGATCCATAGCATCTCCCACAGCCTCCCCCTGCTCTGTTTTCCTCCTGTGTAGAAACAGATTCTTTCTTTACCTGATGAGCATCCAGGGTGCATCCTGTGGAAAAACAGGAGCAAGATGTAGAAGGTAAAAGCCAAGCAACCAAAGATCACGCCACAGACCAGGAAACTGTAGCTGCCCTGAGCCTGGAATATCTGCCAAAGGGGAAAACACAGAGATACAGGCCATCAAAACCTCCTGTGAAGATGAGCTGGTGGAAGCAGCCTTCTCAGGCCCTTGGCAGGTTTTCCAGTCAAGCTGAGGACCAACATACCGATAGATACATGGGTAGGAGGGGCGTCCTGACCTCATCTCAAGGTTATGTTTCTGTGGGAGGCAGAAATCCTGCTCTAAGGAAGGGGGACTTGGTGACCCCTGCAGTCCCTTTTAGTTCTATGTCTGGAACCTTCGGAAAACCTTCCCTATCTTCCTTAAAACTCCAGGCATACTAGGTGTTTCTCTACCCACAAAGCCTGACCAGAACCTTGCAAAGGATATATATATATATATATATATATATATATTGGACTTGGTGCCCTGCAGTCCCTTTTAGTTCTATGTCTGGAACCTTCGGAAAACCTTCCCTATCTTCCTTAAAACTCCAGGCATACTAGGTGTTTCTCTACCCACAAAGCCTGACCAGAACCTTGCAAAGGATATATATATATAT